TTTTTTTTTTTTTTTTTTTTTTTTGCAAATGTTCAGCTTGGAGCTCAGAAATGTCCTTGTTTTTTTCTCAAATGTCTAAGATTAATCTAAAAATTTTAGCTCTTTTGGTGGAAATGTACTCCTTTTTTAATCTGCAATGGCCATAATATGCTGTCGTAGTTTTAAGGATAAGCGAGTTTCTGCACCTGGACGTTTTGACAGCGGAAGAGAAATTTGGCTCCCAAGATGTAGTTCTGAGGAACCTCGATGAATCCCTGACGAGCCCAAATAATTTGGATGGAGAAAGAGAGAGGAAGGCTGCAGCCTGATTCACATGACTCCTGTAGAACATGGAGAGAAATGTTACAATGATTGTGATACAACAGTAGCCTCACAATGAGTGGAATAGAGATCACCCGAGTTAATCTGAAGTAGACTGATTGATCTCAATCATTCAATACTAATAACACAAAGCTCCTTTGTTACTTTGTTTTTATTTCTGTCAACTTTGAATGCTAAAGTGATAGCATACTAAAGCCACTGCTATCAAACTTATTTTGTATAAAATGCACATTTTTGCTCATTGAATTTGTGAATTTCTGACTGAAATACATTATTTTACACCTCCTTTTATCAATTTGTTACATCAGGATTCGTGTTAATGTGGATCGTAAAACATAAGTTTGAATGACTAAAAAATGTCTAACTACTCCATCCAGTACCTTCACGGCACCACTAGGGGCGCAACGACTAGATAATATTTAATAAGTATTTAAATACCAATATAAGGGAGGTGGATATTTATTCAGTCATACATAATTTAAACAGTTATTTAACATAAATCACATTTCATTTTGACATGAAAGATGTTATTTTGTCATTTTTATTCAAAAAGCCAAATATTTTTATTTATAATTGATTTGTTAAAGCAATATGAAGGGTAAATCATTCAAGGGGGTGAATACTTTTCATTTTAAAGCACTGTATGAGACCGAACAACACAAAGTAGTTAGTGAAAGTGAAGTAGAAGGAAAATGACACACGATTCTTTATTTTTTCATTCATCTAAAAAGTGTGGCATGGATTTCTTTCCCAACCCAGTTTACTTGAGCAGTTTGCTCCAGTTTCAGCTACAAGCCTGATCCGTTTTGGCTTTCAGCTTTGTCAAGAGGCTGACATGTTTCCCAAATTATTTTCTTAGAAAATACCAAACTGAAGCGTACCTGCGGATCGATCAGACAGTCCTGTATCAGGATTCTAGTCCAGTTTGGCTGGAGGCCTGAGTTCATGGCGATCTCATCGGGAGCAGTGGATCCTCGGAAGATCTCATAAATCTGTGAACGCAGCTCAGTGCAATTCTGAGTTTCAGAACTGGACAGCATAGGAGAGGAAATAAAATACTTTTTAGGGTTTTAGTTTGTTTAAACCTGGTGTTTTGCCCCTAGAAAACAATTTCACTTATAAGGTTAGAAGGAGGATAAACTGGTGTCTGAAAGGCTGCAACTAATGATTATATTGCTAATCAATTAATCTAATATTTTGATGATTAACTGAAAATGAAAAATGATGGATTCTGCAGATTTTTTTAAATTAACCACTTATGCCATTTATATACAATCATGAAAAGATGAAAATAAACAATTTGTTTACTTTTTAAAACAGGAAAACAAACTAGTTAATATAAACTACGCCCCTTGAGGAGTTTTGGTTAAAACATATTTAAAGAAAAATAAATTTCTGGTTTTCAAATAAAAAGTAAAATATCATCAGCATAAAGTGCAATTATAGCTGAAACGATTAATTGAACTAATTGTGATGAATAGATTATTAAAATAATTGTCAACTAATTTAGTAAGTGATTTATCATCTGTACAGTTTTGGCCTAATTACTGCTGTGAATATATGGGGGTTTTTCAGCAAATTATTGTTTTTTTTTTAGCCAGTCTGTGTACTCCAGTAAACAATTAATCAATTACTAAATTAGTTGACGATTATTTCAATAATCAATTCATTATGATTGAGCCGATTAATCGCTCCAGCCTTAGTTGTACTGAATGTGACGTTTCCCTTTATGCTGATGATATTTTACTTTTCATTTCAAATCCCCACATTTTTTTAACATCTGATTAAAACCATGTTGGTCTGTAAATATGTTTTATCCAAAACTCAAGCAGCAGAGTTCAGATTTACTAAATTAATGCAGTTTATTTTATATAAAAAGCTTAAATTGTTATTTGAAAAATCTGCAGAATGTCCCATTTTTTAATCCAACTGTCAAAATATTTGATTTACCGATTACTAACAATGATTAATAGCAGTCTAGCAGACACCAATTTATCCTAATTCTAACCCTAAATATGTTTACAAAAAATAAATAAATATAATCTATATTCAATCCAAAGTTTACTGCAACAAAATACACCAGTTGGTCACAAAGATATATATTTTTACACTAAGCCCTGATGTCTGCTCACCTGAATGTGCAGCCACTGATGGTGTTGTGTGTGAAGAGGATGGGCGATAACCTGCTGGGATCAGAGGAACACCTGCCACCTTCTGAAACGCCAAGTGACTTCAACTAATCCACCGTCAAGGAAGAAGATGCATTTATGCCGATAATAATCAAACTTCAGTTACTTTGTTTCAAGGATACCGGCTGCATTTCTCCGTCAATAAGCGCCATGACAGCAGATCCCTTTCTCAGTCCAACTGGAGGTGGGTTTGGTGGGGCCTGTGTGGGCTTGGAAGTGTCCCGCTGTAACAGCTTCATAACAGACACCATGAGCTGCATTTCCAGAAACCATAAAATATCCAAGAACTGAAATTGCAAAAATAAATATGCTTAATGGAAACACGCTAATTTCAAAAAGAACTCACGCTTTTCGTTTAAAAGTTTCGCAAAAAATGCAATGAAAACCCTTCTTCACGAGTCACGTGATCAACACCATGACGTTACTACTGGCGAAAACGTTGAAGAAGACGACAGGAAGAAGTAGGAAGAGATTGGTTTGTTTTTGTTTTCTGTATTACACCAAGTACTATAAACAATATTAGCTAGAATTTCGCCGGTGGACGTAAATACAGCACATAAACAGTCTAATCACAAAATATAAACTATAATATGTCCATCATACTAGTGAAAATTTATCCCCCTCACGTCAAAAGTCAGTCGATTTGAATAAAAATATCCGCAGTGCCGAAACTTCTTCCGCTGTTTAGTAGGACAGACAACCGCTCCAAGATGGCCGCCGTATTTCCTGTGCTCCAGCAGCCAATGCGGGGTCTGCTCTTTATTATGTCTAGAACGTTGATGACGTGACTCCTGTGACGTGAAAAACGTGTTTCCGATACGACTGAAAAACCACCTAACCCTAGCAAAAAAACATTTTATCGATAAAGATAAGCTTTAAGCACATTTATTTCATAATTCCAATAAGCTGAACTTGAAGGTTAATGGAGACGAAGATACTGAGTAAACATTTACGTGAAATTCTACAGAGTGTGTCTGGAGGACCAGCTGCTCAAAGGGAACGTCAGTCAGGGTGAAGTTGATGGATGCGTTCCTCAGCTCCCCTTTGGGTGTGTAGTAAACCAAAAACTGTACCTGCAGGAAACGAGCGCAGCTGAGTTAGAAGCTTCAGTTCGGATTAAAAGCACATTTATGCGCCTCCTCACCGTTTTCACAACATCCAAACAAAAGCCGTTTTGTTTGACAGGTGCAGGCCAGTCTGACAGCGGTATAACAGGGACCTGAAAATAAACAGCCTTATTAACGTACCGCCATCTTTGTTTACACCAAATTATTTTAAAACAACAAAACGATGAAACTGTCAGGTGTTTCTTTACCAAAAGATCTGATCTTATTTTCATTTTGTCAGTTGTTGGAACCTGTAACAATGAAACACAGGCTTCATCAGTCTGATGCAAGAGAACATGCAGTATGAATCAAGGCTCAGCGGTAAATCAGTCTTATTATTTAGATTTTTAGAAATCTGGATTTTCTGGATTTTTTTCCCCACCAATGTATTTCTTGAGTTTTCAAAGTTCAGAGTGATGTCAAGGCCGCCATTTTGTTTTACAGCTTCTATTTATTTGAATTTTGAATTCAGGTCAAACTCTTAAATTTTATTTTTAAGCCACCAGCCCTGGTGCGTATATTTTTAAAAGAGTTCATCTGGACTTACTGACCGCTATGAGACTCATGTTAAGATAGTAAGAGATGGAGCTGAGATCCGGATCGGTGGTGCAGGACTGAGAGGTCACCATCCGGGTGCAGGACAGCGACGTAGATCTCAAAAACTCTGAAGAAAACAAACACAAAAAGCAGTGAGATTAAAAATTCAACAAACACAGAAACCTCTGCTTTAAGATATTATTTTATTAGGTAAGTTTGCAAATATAAAGAAAAAAAAGTGCATTTTAAAAATCTGGTCATCTTTTATTGGTAGAAGCGCAGAAACCAAGATGTTTAACAAAAGACGTCCTCTGATAAAATACCAAGTTCGGTAATATTTGTTTCTCTTTCAAAGTTAATTAAACTCCAAACATAAAAAGCTACCTGGCAGGTTTCCATCTGAGTCTATTTGGGGAAAATCTGGTTCACTGTGAGACTCAGCAGTTTAACTTTTCATGCGGTGTGAACTTACTTGCAGGGTTACGGTTGAAGCAGAAGGAGGAGGCGGCACCAGGAGCCGGCTGACGGAGGAGGCCTTGCGCTGAGAAGTTGGACCAAAATGTCTGGATAAGATCATCAACCTAGAAAAACATTTTCTCTATCAAAAAAGGAAGAGAAAACACATTCCCTGAATTGCCTTTGTGTATTATAGGTATTTACCTGGTGAAAATGTCTCCTGTATGCTGGGATCGGATATTCTCGAGATGAGAAATAGTAGAAATCAACTGACTGAGTCACAGCAGGAAGACATGGCAGCGCTGCTGCTGCAGGAAGAGACGGCGGCGCTGCTGCTGCAGGAAGACACGGCGGCGCTGCTGCTGCAGGAAGAGACGGCGGCGCTGCTG